TGTAATTGCACTGCCTACCAGGGGTCCAGCCTGAGCCCTTGAGCCACAGCAGCTCAGGAGCAGTTTGCTTGATGGGTTGTAGAGATGTGCTTGGCACAGGAGTTCTGGATAATCTGGTCTCCTGCTGCTGGAGTTGTCAGTGCTGACTCCCCCATAATCCAGCTGTGCACCCCATCCAGCTCCATTCTCCAGCAGGACCTTGTGACAGCCTTTGTCAGTTGCTGTCATCTCCTCTTCTATGCGTTGTCCTTGAAGTGAAGCTGACTTGGGAAATCACAGAATAGAAGGGACCTTTATAGATCATTGATTTCCAACTCCCCTGACATGGGCAGGTTGCCCCCCACCAGCTCAGGCTGCCCAGGGCACCATCATCCCTGGCCTTGAGCACTTCTAGGGATGGGGCACCCACAGCTTCCCTGGGCAGCCTGTAAATCTCCACTCTGAACACGTTCTCACAATGCAATCCCACTCAGGGCCAGTCAGGTAGTATTGCTAAGCAATCTGATGGGATGGCCTCAGTTTCCCTCCCCGAGGCTGCACACCATGGCCCTTTGTCTTGTCGTTTTTCTGCATCATACCTGTGATCATTTAGTTTGGTCATGAGCAGGGAGCTGATCCTGCAGGAAATCACTCATTTTAACAGAGCTAAGATTTTCTGCTCCTTTAGACGCCTGGGCCAGGTCTCCATGGGTCACTGCAGGATCATGCAGCACACACTGCAAGCAGCTGTGAAAGAGCAATGGGGTGGAAAATTGTACCATTTTGTTATTCATCAAGTTGCACTGTAAGTGGTGTAATTGCCACTATTTCAGGGATCCTAAAATAAACACAGTCACCAAAATCATCTGAGTTTAGAATCATAAAACCATTGAGTACTAAGATTGGAAAAGACCACTAAGATCTAGTCCAACTGTCAACTCATCACCATCATGCTCACAAACCATGTGCCTCAATGCCACATCTACCCACATTTAAAATAAAAAATAATTTAAAAAACAGCAACTAGCAGAATGCCCTCTCTCCAGAGGCAATATGGTTTATCATCACAACTGCCAGGCTGCTGGTACAACAGGGCACTCACAGGCTGCAGTGTGCAGGAACATGCTATAAAAAAGGGTTATAGGAAGGAAGGGGACAAACTCTTTACCAGAGTCTGTTATGATAGCACAAGGGAAAATCATTTCAAATTAAAGAGGGAAGATTTAGTCTGGATATGAGGAAAAATCTTTTTTACAATAAGGGCAATGAAGCACTGGCACAGGATGCCCAGAGAGGTGGTGGATGCCCCATCCCTGGAGATATTCAAGGTCAGGCTGGACAGGGCTCTGAGAACCTGATGGATCTGAGGGTGTTCCTGTTCAGTGCAGGGGGTTGGAGCAGGTGGCCTTTAAAGATCCCTTCCACCTGAGACAAAACTCTGATTCTATGAACACAACACATCAGGGGACTGTCACTGGGTCATGCTGACTCACAGACTCAGGAGATGTTTTCACTTTGGGTGAGAGCTGAGTGCTGGCTGCACTGTTGTTCTGGAATCAGTCTTCCCTCCAAAATGACCAATTCCTCTCCAACCCAGAATCAGTAAAAAGGGGGGGGGGGGGGGGGGGGGGGGGGGGGGGGGGGGGGGGGGGGGGGAGAGAGAAGTAAAAAGCTTAAATGCAGGGAACTTTTTTGTCACGTATGTCATACTTGTCATTGTCATGTATTCAAAGGCAAAAATGCTGGGGTGGGGTAGGAGAACCAAGGCTGTGGCTCTGCTGCGACCTGGCTGCAGTGCAGTGCTCTCCTATTTCATTCAATTCCCAAAGCACCAGCTTGCTCCTTGACTCTGCCTGGGTTTTTTGAGTCGTGTATATTTATAAACAGAAGACAGGAGGGAGGAAAAGAAAAACAGCTGTCATTTGAAAGCGACGAAAGGCTACGAGGGAAATCAGTGCCAAAGCCATGCACAGCCTCCAGCCCACGGTAACCTCTCTGCAGAGGTGTCACTGAGAGCAAACAACCACCAACAGAGTTCACCCACCCCAGATTTTAGCCACGTGGCATTTACTTCTTGCAGATCCCAGACAGGTGAGCAATGCCCCGCTGCAGCCTCTGGCAATGGGTGGCCACTCACACCAGGTGGGATGGTTCCATTCATACATCAGGGCTCGGTCCAAGCCCCACTGGAGGTTTTTCATCTCCCCTGATGAAGTCCAGCTCAAACACCTGGCCGAAATGGAGCTCGGCTGACACGAGAGGTGGAACCCTTCTAAAGTAGATTTTGTTTCCTGTCAGAAAGCATTGCTTGTCTTTGCCCGGGAAATTGTAAAATGGAAAAATAAACATAGAAATATACCATTTCGACACATCCTCTACATCAAAGCACACCCAATGTTTTTAATTTCAGCTTTTTTTTTTTTTTTTTTTTTTTTGAGGTTTTGTTTTTATAAGTCGCTGAATTTACTTGGTAGCTCCTGTTTGTGGAAAGAAATGTTGAAGTGTTACTAATTACACTTATCAAATCAAGCAAAACTACAGCCACTGAGTTCTCAGGAAGAAAAACTCTGTGAGCTCCGTGCGGACACACACGGACGTCTGCAGGGGCAAGGTCAGCGACCGCTGAGCCACAGACTGTGTGCAGAAGAGTGAAAACAACCCACAGACGAATGTGCCGCTGTAAATCATGTCTCTTAGAATATATGCCATCATCCCTTCAGTGAGCAGGAGGATGGGGTTCCCACGTTAGCAGCAGCAGCAATACGGATTCCTAGAAAGATGCAGTGCCTTCGGGTGCCCAACCCAGCCCCGCGCCCTGCTGGGAGGCACGACCATTGCGGTGTTCAGGGAGGGTGATCCCAAAACACATCCAGCACCACGCCAACCTGTGAATGGCGTTGGCACATCTTCAAACCTCCCTGAAACCCAAGGCGGAATTTCACCCTTTCCCACTTGTATAACTGCAAACAAACGCCGTGCTTAGCCTGAAAGCATCAGCGCGTGGGTTGTAGGGCCACACAGAACCCCTGTTTCGTTGTGCAGCAGCAGCCCCACAGTACATCGGCATTTTCCTACAGGAAAGGAAGCTGCAGCAGTGGGGCCACAAAATGCCTCCATGCCCTGCTCCATCAACAGCCACATACAAAACCCCAATCCAAAAGTTTTCTTCAAGCTATAAAAATAAACCGAAGTTGTTCCCAGGGAACAGAGAAAAAGACATTTCCACAATCCCTGCACAGTTATAAGCATTCTCCATAAGACTGAATGCTTTTTTCTGCCTCGGAACAGCCCTCTCTGATCCAGCAGAGCAAAGTTTGTTGATACTCGGGGTTGCAAACCCATGTGTTTACTCAGGCTTTTGTCTGTCAGCAGAGTTTGAAGAGGTCGCTTTGAGAGATCAATATTTTTTCCTGGGGGTTTCTTCAGAGCTACCACAATTTGTTATTGCGTCTGTTTAGAGGCTTTAATTTGTGGTTTTCAAGATTGCATAACTGCGCAGAGAGGTGGTGAGAGGCCCACATGAAGAGTTCAAAATAAATTTGACAATATAGTAAATATCTGCTCAGTAATTTTCCCTGGTCTGAGCGCCACAGAATGCCAACAGAGCCATTAGTCAGGCTGGGTATGAAGATGCCTTTATGGGACCAGGGCACATGTTTCCATCCAGATGGTACAGAGCTGGATGAAGTACAATTCCTGGATGGTACAGAACCTCACTTGTCATTGACACCAACAGAGGACATCCCTCTGGGGGCTCCCATCCGGGCGCCTGCTTAGGTTGCTCTAAAAGACGCTACTTTGAACCAGATATGGAAAAATTAAAATGAGACTTTAATTTTGCCCTTTATTCAGAGTTCTCATAGTAAGTTACATCAAAATGAACCGAGCCGCTTGCCTCCCATAAAGTGACCAAGTGGCTGTACAGCAGTTCTGCAGATGTCAGCTGGGAGGTGTGCTGGGATGCACAACCCCACATGGGGATGGGCTCACTGCAGATGGGAGCTGTGGTCCTGCAGGTCTTTGGAGGGGCTGCAGGTGACACCACACAGAAATGTGGTTCTCAGCATGGATACCACATGGCATCCTCAAGCCAAGCATCCCTGGCTCTGGGACGAAGCACCTGCAAGCGTGATGTCAGGGCAGTGCATGAATAGGTGATGAGCTGGGGTTGGTCTTAATGATCTTAGCGGTGTTTTCCAACCTTAACGATCCTGATTCTACGAATGCAGGAGCACATGTACATAACAGAGGGCAGTGTTCAGCGCTTCGGACAGCTCTCACACACAGTTCTGAGGAAGGTGGTGAAGAAGTGATGTGCACGCTGCGGACTGGGAGCCCTGTGTCAGCAGAGCCGCAGGACCGGCAGGCTTTGTCTGGAACTGTGTCTAGATCCGGGACCCCGGAGGGGACAGCCGGGCAGGAGCGAAGCGCACAGCTCCGGGACGGGATGGGACGGGACGCGCCCCGTGGACAAGCTCCGGCCGAGCCGGCGTCGAGCGCGCAGGAAGACCGCCCCGCAGCGCGGCTCGGCCCCGCCTTCACACCCCGGCGGCCCCGCGGGACGCGAGCACCCCCGGGCCGGGGTCGACGCGGCCCCGCCGCTCCCCTCCGCCGCCGCCGCGGCTTCTCGGCCAACAGCGCCCCCTAGCGGACGGAGCTCGCCGCCGCCGCCCCTCCTCCGCCGCGGGGCACAGTCCGCCCGCCCGCGCCCACCTGGCACCGCCGCGCCCCGAGCTCCGGAGTCCGCGCTTCCCGCCGGGGGCAGCGCCCGCCCCGTCCCGCTCTGCCGCCGCCGCCTCGGGAGGATGCGGCGCGTCCGCGGGTTCGAGCACCCCGTGACCCCGAGGCGCCGGGGCGGGGGTCCGTGCCCCGTGCCAAGGGTCGGCCGGGGCGGGGGGCGGCCGGGACCAGGGGCGGGGGAAGGAAGAGCGGGAGAGGCGCGGCGCGGCGCTGGCGGCAGCGTCCCCGTCACCTGCGGGCGCTCCCGGGACGGCGCGCTGCCTGCGCGGCCCCAGCCCCGCTCCGCTCGGGGGTCCGCGCCGCGCCTGTTGCATCGTCCTCGGCGGGACCGCCCGCGGAGCGCGCGCCGCTGTCCGTGCCGGGACCCGGCGATGCCCCGCGTGGGACGCTCCGCCGGTGTCCGACAGCAGCCGCTCCCTGCCTCGTCGCACGTCCCCCGCAGCTCCCGGCGGGGCTCTCTCCCCTTTTGTCTGTGTATTTTTAGGTCATTAGAGTGGAGGGGTAGGTAATCCCCAGGCTCAAGTTCCAGAGGGGCGGGTTCTGGCCGGAGGTGGAGTCACTTTTCATTTAAATCCCCGACTATAAAATGGGCTTAAAGAGAAGCGGGATCTCAGCCGTGCCGCGCAGACCCCGGCACGCAGGGTCCGGGGGGGCGGGCGGGCAGCCCTGCCCGCAGCAGCCGCCGCGGCGATGCTCCACTCGCTGGGCGCTCACACCTTGCAGCTGCTCACCCAGGCGGCCGCCTGCATCCTCCTCTTCCCCCGCTTCCTGCTCACCGCCGTGATGCTCTGGCTCCTGGATTTTCTGTGCATTCGCAAGAAGATGCTGACGATGCCCACGGCGGAGGAGGCGGCCGGAGCTGGCGAGGGGCCGCCCCCCGACGACCCTCCGGTCTGCGTGTCCGATTCCAACCGCATGTTCACGCTGGAGTCGCTGAAGGCCGTGTGGCACGGGCAGAAGCTGGACTTCTTCAAGTCGGCGCACGTGGGCTCGCCGGCCCCCAACCCCGAGGTGATCCAGCTGGACGGGCAGAAGAGGCTCCGCATCCTCGACTTCGCCCGCGGCAAGAGGCCCCTCATCCTCAACTTCGGCAGCTGCACCTGACCCCCGTTCATGGCCCGCCTGAGGTCCTTCCGGCGCCTGGCCGCGCACTTCGTGGACATTGCCGACTTTCTGCTGGTGTACATCGAAGAAGCGCACCCCTCCGACGGCTGGGTCAGCTCGGACGCTGCCTACAGCATCCCCAAGCACCAGTGCCTCCAGGACAGGCTGCGGGCGGCGCAGCTGATGCGGGAAGGGGCGCCCGATTGCCCCCTGGCCGTGGACACCATGGACAACGCTTCCAGCGCTGCCTACGGCGCCTACTTCGAGCGGCTCTACGTCATCCAGGAGGAGAAGGTGATGTACCAGGGAGGCCGAGGACCGGAGGGCTACAAGATCTCGGAGCTGCGGAGCTGGCTAGACCAGTACAAAACCCGGCTCCAGAGCCCCGGCGCGGTGGTCATCCAAGTGTAAAAAGGACCCGGCAGAAGGCGCGGGGGGAGAGGGGACGGCGGGCGGAGGAACGCGGGGGGGCTCCGCGCCGGGGCTGCGTGCGGGCGAGATGTGCCATAGTCCTTTCTCTATTCAAATCATGTTGATTTGCCAGCCACGCTTTGTCAATACTGTATTTCCATGTGCGTTTTGTAAATAACTCTTTTTTTTTTTTTTTTCCTTTTTTTTCTTTTGAGAAGCGTTTACTATTTTTTAAGGCGGCTCTCTTTCTTCGGGATCTGTTCCCAGCTGCGTGTGTGCGCGGGTGTGTGTCTGAAAAGTTGTGTACAAGTGCTCCGTGCTGCCTAGCAAGTGCTAACTGGGATTTCTAGTATTTCTTTGTGATGACCGATTTTGAAATGGGTTTCTCTAATGCCAGGAAATCGTGTCTGATGTTGTCAAGTACTAGAACTGCCAATAGCCAGAGCTGAACGGAATGTCCTATTTATGGGGGGGGTTTTGTAAGACGTTCGTTCACCTTTTTTTTTTAATGAATTTTTTTAAATAATAAAGGTTGAGTAAATACACGTCTAACCTTTCCCGTCTCTCTCTATCTCGCTTCAGAGCGCCGCATCCCCTTTCCTCCTGTCCACCTTCTCACTTCCCCTCCACGGCCGAGGAGCGGCTGCCGCCAGAGGATGCGCTGCCGGGTGCTGCGGCGGGACCCGGAGGAGAGGGGGGCATTGGGCGTCCCGGGGGCAACCCCTACCTCCCGGGCTCCCACGGGACGGGTGGACGCGGTCCCGGCCGGGGACGCTCCGTCGAGGAGCGGGGGCGGCTCCGAGGTGCCGGGGGCGGGGTTCGGAGAGCACCTGCACGTCGGGCAGCCCCGCTGCGCACCGCCTCAGAGGGCGGGGAACACCGCTCCGCAGCCCGCAGGTGATGCCGAGCTGAGAGTCTCTCCGAAGACCCCAGCGGCATCCGCTCACCGGACCCTCGGGCGGCTCCACGGCCGCGGCGGGACAGGATGGGAGGGGACGGGACGGGACGGGGTTCCCGGTCTTTGCAGCCTACGGTGGGGCTCGACGGCGGCTCCCGCCCGCGGGTGAAGACAGAGCGGGTCCCGCGGCTCCGTACGGTTCTGGGCAACGCGGGTGCCCCGGGGCCGGAGGCCCGAGGTGGGCGCTGAACGCGGAGCGCGACGCTCTCCATAAACCCCGGAGCCGGCGAGGGGGGACCTCCGCTGCCGCCCCGGGAGAAGGAAAGGTGCCGGCCGTGTCTCACCTGGTGCCCGCATCGCCCCAACTCCCCCACTGGACAAAACGGCGCTTCCCCAGCGTCTGCCTCTCCAGGCAAATTGGGCTGCCCCTTACGTAAGGGCGGAGACACTGCTCTACCGTTCTGGCACAGGAGGACCCAGGCGGGGCGCGGCGAGCTCCGGGCAGGTGCCGGTGCCGGTACCGGTGCCGCACCCCCGCCCCCGAGCACGGCCCGCCCGCACAGAGCGGGAGCTGTCCCACAGCCCGGCCTCGAGGATGGGTCCGCACCCCGGCTCGGTTCTCCTCTTTACAATAACGCTCTTCTGTGCTTTCGCACCTCGCCATCCCTCCTCCTCGCCCTCTCTTGGCACAATTCAGCTGTCACTAGAGCTGCGGGCACCCCCCGGCGCGTCCCCGCCCGCCCCCAGGATTTTGGTCAAAGGGTACCGGAGGTCAGGGCTGTTGTTGGTTTGTTTCGTTTCTCACTAAGTCAGCTCCGAAGCTCCATTCCTCCTTTACACCCAACACAGTAAGCTCTTACTTATCACTTTCTCTCTAATCACAGCATCAGGAGAAAAACGTGCTGTGAAAGCCCGGAATCCTTGAAAGACATCACACTTTTCCTTTGCTCAAATTAAAGTTATCTGCTCCTATTATACACTCTGTTGAAAATGAATCATAAAATGAATCAGCTCCGCTGAGCTTCCGGGGGGGCACTTGTTGGGCACAAATTAGAACAAGATGCTTTACATCCCAAAAGCCTGCGGGGTCCGGAGCCTCTTCAGCTGATACAGAGCACCAATAAATGCCCTATCTTTATTATTTTTATTGCCTTTCCATCCCTTAAGTGTCTGACAAAGAGAAGACAGAGAGCAGCAGAGATTTATCAGCGAAAGATCTAAGTGGTGATTGCGTGTGCTGTCAATAATTAATTGAATTATGCCCTCAGCATAATCACATGCAGTCCTCAGGCTGGGAGGGGAAGAGCAAGGAGGAGGCTGTGTGGTCAGAGGGGGATCTCAGGACATGGTCCCAGTCATTACATGTGATGTAACATTGCAATGTGGTGCGTTCTGAGGCACAAATGGGGAAATACAAACGAAACCAACCACTCGAGTGTTATTTGCTTAACAACAGACATGCAGTAATAGCACTTGTTTTCAGTGTTTTTTTTTGTTTGTTTGTTTTGTTTTTTATTTGTTGTTTTCTTTACTGTTTATTTTTCTTGCCAGAAATCCAAAGGTATTTTACGATGTGAACCAAAGATGTGCTGGTCAAAGGTACTTTACAGTGCATCATAAAACACTCCTGACTCTAAGCTGTTGGCTTCGTATTGTTCACCTTTCAGAAACCCAGTTTATTTTGTCTTTCTGATGCTTGAAGTAAACTGGAAGAAGAAATTAAAATCAGCCCAGCAAACATCAGGCATCCAATAAAAATGAAGAAGTGACGCACTGAAAGGATTTTGCAAGCAAATTCTTACCCCAACGCTAATTTTTCTGTACTTCTTCCAGTCACAAGGGAGATCAGCATATCATTATTAATTTATTATTTACTAAGAGCTGTTAGAGTGCTCTTTTGGTACACAAATGCAGGCAAACAAAGAGCTTGATTCATTTCTCTCCCAAGTTTTGCCCTGGTGTGACTTCAATGATACGGGTGCAGTCACTTCAGCACCACCTGGGTGTAATTATGATCAAAATCCGGGCTATTGCACTTCCTTTGCTTTCCTAATGGTTCAAAACCTCTATTTTTCTACAGCGTGCTGCGGAAGACAAGACAGCTGTTTGCAAATAGAGCTCCAAAATCATTCTCAAATTCCTTCTCACCGAGTCTTCCATCCTGCTCAGCAATGTCAGTGCATTTCCCCACCATCCCACACCCCTCCTGTGGCATGAGCATTGCACACCCATTGTTCCGTGCTCCTTTGCACTCACGTCCTCTCAGGGTATTGAGATTTGCATCAGGTATCTTTCTGTTTCAAACACTTCTCAGCATCCAGATGCTGAAAGAAATTCAGCACCTGTGTCCTTCTTTGCAAATTTCTCTTTTCAGACTAATGCTTGATGACGCCTCTTGAAAAGGGGCTCATTTTTGACCTCCGCTTAATTGATTACTCCATGTATCTCTTGTCCCCGTGGCCAACCAGCTGCTTCTTTGGAGATGGTGGGAGTGGTTTACAGCGGTAAATGCACCAACAATCAATGGCCAAAACATCTACACTAGAACAGCAAGCATCATTCAGCACTTGCACATTACTTCATGCTTCAGTAATGTCAAAATATCAAGACAAGGTTAAAGTCCCTCAGCTGATATGTTTTATACAAGAATTCTTCTCAGGGTCAGAATGTACAATGCTTCTGCCCATAAAATTGAGGATCTCACAGTTTGGTCCTGTACACATCAAACAGAAAACTGCCTATTTTTGTATCCTCTCTCCTTTTCAAGTTAATAGAATTGTAGAAAGGCTTAAGTTGGAAGGGACCCTAAAGATCATCAAGTTCTCTCCTGAGTGTTCCTTGTTTATGCAAATGAAAGCCCACACCTGTAAGCAGGAAGTATTTACTTCTATTTCCTTTCAAGTAATAAAACACTCTCCCATCTTGAAAAGACCTTTAGAATGTAGCCAGATGGGGTAAGGTAGTTCAGCCTCCAACACATTGCTCCCCCCATGCCCAGAATTACCTGGACTCAGAGGTGATCCCTGAATATCTAATAAAGGCCACATCTAATTGTGGCACTTCTTACTAGAGATGTTCAACAATGAGTTGGGCACATGGGCACTGGCAGAAGGGGATTCCCTTTACTACTGTAGAGTAATGGGCATTACATTCTATAAACAAATTTAATTTTTACTGAAAACCCCTGGCATGAAGGGCAAGGACCACGATGCAGCTCTCTGCCTCTTCTGGCCATCCTTTCTCTGACACTTTCTTAGGCTCAGGCAGTATCTGATGCATCTGCCTTTGACCAAACTTTCACATTCACTCCAAAGCAGCCGCAGTAGCAATCACATTCCCATTGCCTTGGTGACTCTTGATTTTTGTTGTTCTTGTTATTTTTGCCCGAACAGTCAGAATGTAAATTCCTTGCAGCAGCCAAAAATGAGTATACTCCATCTCTTCCAAGTTGTCAAGTTCAGTTCCCCAAGTGATGGGCCACACTGTGGAATTTCAACTAGTTCTCAAAGCACAGAACCTCACTTCAGGTGCCATAAAGGTGAAAAAAATTGTATTGAAACATCTTTCAGAACTTTCTCAGAGCTCATTTAACTTCAGAAGTGTAATTATGCTGAAGATAAAATCAATGCTGAAGCTCTGACAGCAGAAATAATTTCCAAGAATAAAAATCATTATGTAAACTAAGGATGTACTTCAAGCGTACATTTATGAAAAATGATATTATGTGATAAAATTTGAAGGTATGGATTACTTTTTAAAATTCTTATAAAGGAATTGACCCTTATAAAAGCTATGAGACTACAACTGAAGGAATTCAAAGCAAGGAAACTATGGTTTTGAGTGATCTCCTTCATTTGTGATGAAGAACAATCAGGAAAGAATAGGGTGTAAGTCCTTTGTCAACTGGATTTGTAACACATGGACATAGAGAACATGCTGCACTTCAGACAGATGCATACAATTGCAAACAGAGCTCAAAATTAGTCCAAAGTAGTTTTGGAACATTTGAAATGGAGAGGCAGGGGATTGGGCATTTTATAGAATGAGATATTTGTTTCAAAGAGTGGCAACTGTTAATAAATAAATAAATAAGCGAATTACGAAGTTAATTTCTACTCACTCTGAGTGGGACACAACCGTTTTATGTACGTCAGCAAATCATGAACATTTCTGGGGAAATACAGAATGTTAGGTGGAACTCAGCTGACCCATCTCCTGTATTTTGTTTTATCATAATTTACTTTTTCTCTTGACTGTATATCACCCTCTCCAGAATGCATACCACTAAACTGATTAAGCTAATCTTTTTTCTTTTTTTTTCATGTTCACAGATCTAAAGTTTATCTGTCAGTGTTTAGCCAGTTGGCGCATCTCAGATAATAACCTCCCATGGCATCAAATTCAATAGTTTGGTCCTCCTGATGAGAGCACAGTCAGGGTAAACAAAAAGAAGAAAGGTGTTTCTAAAACTTGCAGCCATCCCTCAGAACTAACCAGCAAGTCTCCTATGCCCATGGAACACTTGATTCACATGAGGAGTTGGGAGAAACTCAGTAGTGATTTACTGGTAGAATTGAAACCTGGTATGTGCTAGAGAAATACATCTCTATTTCCTGAAGCTGTAGAGGTTATCTGGTAGTATCAGC